TATTAAGTCATGTGCCCTTGTGTGAGCTACATCTATCTGCAAAGAAGAAGTTATCTTTTTTTTTGTTAGTTGCACAAAGTTACTGTTTGGATGAGACATAGCTGTGTATAGCTATCTTATTTCCTCCATTCATTCTCTTTCTCTCTCTGAAACACTCAATAAAAGTAGTGTGCCCTGTGTGCTCTATGTCAATGGAGGTAACTTGTCGAGAGCCTAAAATGACTGAATGAGCTTCATAGGCATCAGTGGAGATTCCTGACTGCAAAATGGCTGGGAGAGAAGGAAAGAGGAAGGAAAAATAATGCTTATTGAGTTCTTACTATGTCCCATGAATAATATTTTCATGGATTTTCTCTTACTAAATTTGATGCAAAATAAGAAAAGGGGGTGGGTATGTTACTAAACAGACAGGTAGAACCCCAGTACACCTGAGGTCAGCTGAGGAAGGTGGACACTGGACACCCAAAGGCACAATGTTCAGGAGGCTAGGTCGTCTACGGGGGGCCTTGCTGGGAAGGTATAGCCTAGATGAGCAGAAAGGGAAAAGCCTGAAAACCCCTGTTCTGTGGCCACAGAACGGGGATAACCTTAACTTTATATAGTGACCAAGACAATGAGGCATCTGGTCCCTATATAGTAACAGTTTGTTTCCTTGCAGACCTGAGTGATAGACAGCAAAAAGGCTAATGTCTACTAATTAAAGACATGCATCTTGCTGTCACAAGAGTGAATAGACACAGGATGTACTTGACTGGAATAGACATTCTCTAGCCTGACCACAAAAGTCAAACACTGTTGGACTGGGTACCTGCATGCAAACATGTGTCTTTAGAATATCAGAAATAATAATTAAGAAAAGATAGATGTGTGGAATGAGCTCCTTAATTATTTGATTCTGAGAGTCACAGAGGTATTTGAGGAAAGCACATAATGGTGCTATCATCACCACTACCTGAGCAGGTAGCACCCTAGAGCCCTCACTATGCAACAGGTGCTGTGATGATGTCCAGCAACAAATCTTGAAGCAGCTGCTCTTATTCTCTCTTTACAAGTAAGAGGTTAAGTAACTTCCCCAGGTCACCCAGCAAGGCAGTGATGGAGCCTGAATTCAAACTCGGGCTTGACTCCAGAGCCCATGCTAGACAAAACTGTACCACCTTCCCCCTCTCATAAGGGTTGTGCCATGTGGGATGATGTAAATTGGACCTAAAATTAGATTAAAGCAAAATGGAATGAGGCCTTTTGAAAGTAAAGGGCAAATTCTGATCTTGTTTTCAGTCCAAAAACAACTCATTTATTCAATGTCTTCTGGAATAGATGTTCCACAAAAAATGCATTTTCTAGCTAACCGACACTTCCCAAAATTCATTTTACATCTATTTCTCTGCCTTAAAGTGATTATACTGAACATAATGGAAATACTTGTTGTGCTTCAGGTCTATCATGTCTCAACAATAACCAGAGCAGCCAATCAATATAGTGCCACCTATAAGGACCATTTTTTGGTTTTTTGGTCTCTTCCCTCACTCTTGTGAGTGGAAGCTGTCTCTTTTTCTTGTCATTAGTGTGTTCTACCCCGGATGACTTGATACCCCTCTCCTTGTTCTACCAACTTGCTGCTTTTCATTTACACTGGGACATTTTTGTCAGTGCTTTCTTCTTGATGGGCCAGAGAGAAAGTCACCTCCAAACAAGTGAGCTCTTACCACATTAATGTGACTCCCATATTATGCCTCAATTTAATATGTATTTTTTTCTCCTGGTAGAAATCATAAGAAACTTAACAATGGTTACCCTTGGGGAATGGGCTGGCAGAAAGGTGGGAGGAGAAAATGGAGATTCCCCCCACCCCATTTTTCATGTAGTACCTTTAATTAATTGGAATCATCTAATGTCATATATTTTAGTTTTACCTTAAGAATATCAACAGTGGTTACCTGGACAGGAACTTTCTTTTTTAACCTTTTTATATTTAAGACAATTTGATGTTATAGATATCTGTGTGTATGTATGTGCATATTTACATCCATAACACAAATGTATACATACAAATATATTTTTAAAGATGCCTATGGAAATTATTTTAAAAATCTGTATTTCTTTCCTAAAGGTACATTATATGTTAATACCTAAATCTAGTCATCCCTCAGTATCCATGGGAGATTGGTTTCAGGACTGCTGTGGATACCAAAACCCAAGGATGCCATAGTCTCTTATATAAAATGGCAGTACTATTTTCATATAATGTACGCATATCCTCCCTTATACTTTAAGTCATCTCTGAATTATTTATAATACCTAATACAATGTAAATGCTATGTAAATGGTGGTTATACCATATTGTCTAGGGAATTATAAGAAAAATGTCTGGACATGTTCAGTGGAGACTCATTTTTTTTCTGAATATTTTTGACCTGTAGTTGGCTGAATCCAGAGATGTGAAACTCATGGATACAGAGGGCTGACTGTACTTCTGTTGTTACAAATTCGAGATTCTCTTTAAAAATAACATGTGTCGTGTGTGTGTGTGTGTGTGTGTGTGTGTGTGTATAAATTTGTAACTGGGGTAAGTATGCAATTTCTAAAACTAATTTTGAAGAACCTCACTGAGTTAAGTCTTTGATAAACAAAGTTTGCTGTAGCTTTTTTTTGGGTGTGTGATTGCAACCTACACTGCAAGATATAAAATGAAATTTTTGAATAATTCTTTAAAAATTACTTATTGATCTAAATTATAGATTCTCATTTTATATTCAGGCTTTTTCTTAAAAATAAAAAGCCCATGTAACTGCTGTGTTAAAAGTCAAAGATACAGACATAAAATTTCATTAAAAAGACTACCTATAATCAAGGAATCATCAAAAGTATTGATATTTACTTTATTTCTTGAAATTTACTTCACTGCTTTGAAAAAAGACACTTGGGAAAGTCTAACTAGTTTAATTCCTTGACACTGATTATATTAAGCATAGATAGAATATTTTTTTGCTGCTACCACTATTTTGGTTTACTTCTACTTCCCTTTGCTTCTTGGTGCTTTTCAGGGAATACATCGAGGAAGACGAAAAGTGACTTCCCCAAATTAGGTAGGTGTATTCTCATTGTCTATCATTGTCAAAATCATTACCACAGACTAAAAACTATTTATTTGCGATTCACATCTATTAAAGTTGCTGGAACTTTCCTTATCAGACTGATACAATCTCTGCTATGGTATGGGAGGCAGAGGCGATTCTGAATAGGGTATCTAGTAAAAGAGCTGGTTCCCGACTATGTAGTCTTAACTGGGTCATCTAAAGCAAAGGTAATGCCCAAATGACGAGGTAAAGCTGTAGGGAAAGCCAAGGGACCAATGAAAACAGAGTTTGACACAGCAGCAGGCACTCCATAAATACTTGTTGAATAAATGAATGAGATAATTCTACTTATATAACACAAGGTATATGAACAAAACAATATAACCTCCCTCTTTGAAGTTCTAGTTAAACAGTTACATTAGTGCTGTGGCTCTGGTTTGTAGGAAAAAAACTGGATTTATCAATAGCATAGAAGCAGAAGTCAAAATAAGCAAGCCAGCCCTCAGCTTTTCTTCCCACAGATATAAGTTGGGCTTCATATCCCATGTCTTGCAGAGAAGCCGAAGATCTACTCTGTAGCAATTAACATTGGGACAACAAAACACGTGTTAAAAAGTTGCCTGTGGGGCTCAGAATTTAATTTTAGAAAATAAATTTAAGTCTTGTAAATTCTCTCCATATCAGACGATCACATTCATCTAAGTGCAAAGCTAAAGAGAAATCATGTAGACATTATCTGCCTTTCCTCTTGTCCATGCTATCATACTCCTTTATTATGTAGATCATTCAACAGACAGCAAGAATGAACAGCTCTTCATGGAATCCCTGAGTTAGAAAAGCCCTTGAAGTTCATCTGATTCAATTACCAGAATACCTCCAGAAACTACGCCTGTGAGACACAGAACTATATATAGAAGTGAAAGCTTACTTCTCTATTGCCACAACATGGTGGGTTTTTGTTTTTTAAGTTAACCCAATACATCAAACTCTTAATCACAACCCATTCTTTTCTGTTCTCCCCGCCAAAAATGGATAATATGAGGACATATCATTATTAAAACAGTATTTTAATACTACTAGCATGACTATATGGATATTTTAAATTAAGAAAAACATGATACGGATTTTAATTAATACTGCTATCATTTTAGTCTGAATTTGAGTAGAAGATTCTTAAAGTTACTCCAGGCTTCCATTTAACACGGAAATCCTCTCTATGGCATATTTCATCTAAAAGACTGCATAATAAAAGATTAATGCAGCCACTTTAAATATTTAGATGCTTTAAAATTGCATAGGAGGTAGATGATCACTTTTTGTATTTAAAAACTACATTTTTTTCTATATTTTGAACAAATGGATATGATATTTAAACATTCTTTTTTAAAAACCATTGCCAGTTACCATATATGAAGATTTGCTAAACTGTACTTTGTGTTAATAGAATTCATAATTCAAAGGCAATACTTAAAAGCATTTCAAAATCAGGTTGTAATTATTTCAGGTAAAATATAAGTATTTCTGGCTAATTATAGCACATAAGGTGTTCTAATTTCAGAACTAATTGGTCAAATATTGTCACAGATCACCAGTATAACAAAAAGAACACCTCAGTGTTAGCTGGCACATAAAGTATAGTATGTTATAATAACCACAAAATATAGGGTGAATCTTATTTTGCAAAGAGGCTTGTGCACACCTAACAGAAAACCCACATCACAGCCATATTCGGCATCACCAAGGTATGACATGAGAGGGAACTTTTGTTCTAAACAATAGTGCCACTCAGTGGCTGAACAATGGTAGTGAATTAAAAACAGTATGAATGGAGGGTAGGCAAAAAGAAAAATGGAGTTTTGGCGTAGGCAATGATAATACTGTAGGCAAAGAAAAAGAAACGCTATGTTGTTATGGTAACTGTACCTTGGAGGTCAGTTAGAGTCTGGACAGGAACAGAAACCTGAGCATCGCTTCCTGTAACTACATCGCCTGGATTTCATAAGAAAAAATAATTAGATTTCATAAAAAGGAAATAATCAACTTCACTTTTCTACTGAATGTTCTAATACTTTAATCAAATTACTAAAAATACAGTACAAACCAAAATAATGCACAAGCTTAGAAAAATTAATATAAAGTATTTTTAAAGAAAATAATTTTTGAAAGCATGTTTCCTAGAAATGTTTTGTGTTTGTTTTTCTTAAAAAAAACACAAACAAGTTTCAACTAGAGTACAGGAAACTTCAGCAGTCAAAAGATTTTGCTGAGCATATTTCATGATGCTACAAATATTAGTGTGATTTTGTATTTTCTCTTTCATCCAAAATTGTTATATGTCATTTGTTTAAAAATAGGCATTCTTTTGAAATTGATTTCCTCCTATATCAGACAAAATTTATTTTTAACTAAACTTGAAACCAGCTTCTTCAGTGATAAGATAAAGACCTAAATAAGTTCTAATTTCATATTAAGTAATGAAAAGATTTCTTAAGTTACCACATGTACTTATAAATGTCAACATGTAAAAATAAATCTGTGAACTGCATACCCTTAACTTGATATACTTATTATAGGCAAGATTTCATTTACAAATTGGACTTATAGTAAGTGCTTAAAATAATGACATGCTCAAATTCAAAAAGCAATTTAAAATATAGACAAAGGAAACAGGAAAAAAAAAAAAAACCAAGTGCATTTTAAGAACATAAGAAAGGAAAAGGAGCATAACAGGAAATCTCATGAAGAACCTGAGGTGCACTAACATTTGGAAGGAAGACTTTTTGGTTCTTTGATTTCCTTCCTGGATGACAAAGTTCAACACTAAGCACAGTCACTGTTAACAGAATCATTCTCTGGATATATCACCATCTGAAGGCCTATGCTATTTTCAGACAAGCTAAAGAAAAAAGCATTTTAAAAAAGCATCATATTTTCTATGTATGATCATTTATGATTAATTGACTTGTTTCTCCTTGAGCTTTTATATAATATATACAGTAGTAAAAAAAAAAAATCAACTTTTGAGTTAAATGACATATCCCCAGTGTTCTGACCACTATGACTTACAGTATGGCCAGCTAATCTGGAAACTGCTAAGTTGTAATTATACCATCATCATCAATTAACAGTACACACATTTAGTCTCCTATAATTGAAATAAAATCTATAAATAGGAACATACCACAAACAAGTGATAAATAGCTTTTAGTGGAAATGGGCCCCAGATTTTCATAATATGTGAACTCTAAATTCACTGATAAATGGTGTGTCTACTTTCTGTATATTTGAAGGAGATTTTCAATTCTGTGCCTGCTACCTGTTTTACTCTGCTGCTTCTAGATCACTTATTAATGTATATTTAGAGACTGACCACTCATTTTAACATTAAATATCACCAAAAAAATTATAGGGAACATCTGAGCTGCTCCTTCACTATCCTACCCCAACACATAGATAAACTACACAATGTACTTCAAGCAACACATGTGAGTTTGGATTACAAACACAACTGTCCCCCTATAAAAGCATATAAGCACAAGTAATTGAAAGTTAACTGATGATGAAAACCATAAAGTTTCATCTTTATAAACAACCATTTTTCAACATAACTTTCAAATTTTCCAGCAGAGTACACTAAAAAGACTATTACATTATCTTTCCTCAAAGGCATTAAGTAGATGACTCTGTTCTGAGATAGAAATCACTTCACAACACAAGCCTCCTGAGAGGCTAAATATTGTGTTCACTGATCTATGGGACCAGGTGATATGCTTGCAGCTTTGTCAGTGTGACAGCACAGCAGGATACATGAGGGAAGTACCAGCATAAAGAACCAATGTTGGAGAAGTATTCTTCACTGTAGAGTTCATCAATACATGCTCTACCAAAACAACCATAGATTTTTAGAGGTGGGAGACTCTCCAGGGATTAGCCCAGATCTCTTATTTCAGGGTGAGGAAACAAGAGGGTCAGGGAGCTTCAGGGTGTTGCTTAGGGCTCATCAATGGATGAATAGAGAAGAGCAGCAAACTACACTATCTTCTACTTCTATAAACTGTTCTCTTTGCCTTTTGTTTTATCCAAACCTTTGTGCAGGAAGAGGCATTAGCAGGAACATTTGTAATTAATCTGAAGGTAAACAAGTTTTTGTTTTTGGTAGACTGACATGAGAAGAACAAACCACAAGTACAAATATAGAAGGGCTGCCAAACAAGGCTACTTCCTTTCAGCACAGGGATCAGTTAAAATGCCCTAGTGATAATCATGTTCCAAATACTTTGCTTAAGTGCTCTGTTGTCTCCTTATAACTGGGGACTTGGTTTTCATCAATTGTTCCATCTCCATGCACTTCCTTTCTCACTTACTGTGATATTAATACTTGACATTTCCTTGGAGACACAACTTTATATTTCTAGTCATTTGGCTTAGTTCCTTAGAAAATTTAAGCTACAACATTAAGAGATTCTCTGACTCATTTGCCTGCCATCAGTTAGAATTACAACTGACTATGGCTTGTTATCAAAGCAATATTGAAATCGTATTTGTTTAGAACAATAAAACAGTACAATTAAGAAATATGTAAAATAACATTCATTTCCATTCTGGAAATGGGCATATCTCCTGGCATTAAAATACATTTACAACATGCTAATGATTTGGTCTCTTTTTTAAAAAAAATCATGTGTGACAGCTCTACGTTAAAAAGAAAATAATGTAATTTTCAATGAGATATTCTTTTTTTTTTTTGAGACACAGTCTGGCTCTGTTGCCAGGCTGGAGGGCAGCGGCGCAATCTTGGCTCACTGCAACTTCCGCCTCTCAGGTTCAAACGATTCTCCTGCCTGAGCCTCCTGAGTAGCTGGCACTACAGGTGTGCGCCACCATGCCCAGCTAATTTTTGTATTTTTAGTAGACATGGAGTTTTACCATGTTGGTAAGGATGGTTTCTATCTCTTGACCTTGTGATCTACTTCGGCCTCCCAAAGTGCTGGGATTACTTGTGTGAACCACCACGTCCGAGATATTCTTATGCATCGTAAATTGAAAATTCTCATAAAAATTTAAATACTAATTATATAAAATCTAGCATTTTACATAGGCAAATAAAAACTGAATAGAAGGATAACATGATGTAACCAATAGAGGAATACAGACACACATGTGTGTGTGCATGAGTCTGCACACTCATTGAATAATACTCAACATTTATATCATTGGGGAAGAAAGTCCATTTAACATAAGTTTACCAATTTAAATGGCATTATGTAAAATTAGAAACTAACTTTGAATGTAATCTCCTTAAACAGAGTATATGGAACACAGTTTTAAAATCTTACTGACAATATTACTCATGTTATTGTCAACACTAATTATTGAGCACTGATATAACAGAGGGATCCCTTTAAGACAAGAATGATACTTGGGTCAGGATGTTTGCTCTAACACTAAGTGGTCCTAGACTGCTTGTGAGGTCTTAGGATTGCTTTTTAAGTATTTTTTGCCATCAAGTTACAACTTCTTGCTTCTAGAGTACAGTTAGCAGAGTCCTACTACTAAGAATAAATGTAGCTGTTTCCAATTTCTTATGAAAAGGGGGACCTAATACGTTATGACTCTTTAAAAATAGGTGAAAAATAAGAGTGCAAAGGATCAGAGTAAAAACCTGAAGAGCTCTCTTATGAATACAAAACATGAGGGAGGTGAAGCTCCGGAAAGGCCCTGAAACAGAAATGAGCTTACCTGAGTCCCAGCAGAAAATGTGCTACCAACAGCAGTGCCCTCGCTCATCCAGTGGGAGATAAGGATTGGATGATCTCCCAGGTTTCCTCTGCTCTAATGTTCTGTGGTTCTAACTTTTAGTTTATGGACTCATACACTTATTTTGGCTGCTTGAAGTTTTGTTTAGTTTCTTTCTCCCCACTGCTTAAGATTCCAGTTTGTATTCCTTAGAAGTGAAGCAGCTGGGTGAGAGACTGCAAGCCTAGTGGCCCACTTCCTCAAAACAACTGCAACACACCAATGAATGCTGTAACTAGTGAAGCCCCATGGTACTGGAACTTCTCATTTTGGATTCTCTTCTAGTGAGAAGCATTACTATACAAAGTTAGCAGAGAACACAGTCAACTGGTCTCAGTTTCTGTGTTGTGTTAATTCATGCCATCATACTACATGGGCACCTACAGGACAAAGTTGCAAGTATACTAGGATATAAATGTTAAAAAAAAAATTACCTCATAAAATATTCTTAAGACTAACTCTAACATTCCAACTTTAAAAGAATCAAATATAACATTAAAAAAGTAAGTTTTACATTACTTTCTATTCTAGGAGGTTGGTTCTTCACAGGCAGGTGAAGAAATCCCAGGCTACATAGTGAATGTTTTCTTTGGATTTACTAGTAATTTTTCCTACCTTTGTTCAATTGTACAGGCATGCTTTCTGATTTCATCAGCCTCTGCTGCTGCTGCTGCTGTTGCTGTTGCAAGTGATGCCTTGGGGCCTCCGCTGAGGTCCTGGTAGGAATCACAACGGAGGAGGAGCTACTGCTGTTGCCTCCAGGTACAGGGCCACCTGCACTGCCTGGAGCCATTGCTGGGGAAATCAACTTTCTTCCAAAATTAATCAGGCTATTAGACACCTTATTTATATTCAGGGGAGCACCTTTGGCATTGGCCCTGTTAAAAAAAGAAATGGAGAGGCATTATTTACACTTAGAGGATGATTCTATTTCACATAATTAATTGGTATAAAAGCACACCTTGTCTGCTTTGAAAAAAGTCATTTACTAGACCAGCTATATAAAGTGAGAAGTGAAAATTTAAAGTTACTACAGAATAATAAAATAATGAGATTCTTAAAAACATAGCTTATGGAAAACAGTCTTATTTACTTTTCATTCATTCATTCAACAAATAGAGCCAACACTGCTGGGTTATGAGAATATAATTGCCCAAAATAGACACTGTTCCCTTCCTGGAGCTTCTAGTCTAGTACAGAAGAATATATTAATCAAATAATCACATAAATAAATATATGCTTAAAACCTGTGATTGGACTATAACGGAGAGGCTAGGCAAGTCCTGGGGTCCTCACAGAAGGGGGCATCTATGAAACGAAGCTAAGAGTAGGTTTCTCACCAGCCCTGGCACATGGGTACTAGGCCAAATTTAATATGATTTTGAAAATAAATGTCTGATAGTCATGAAGTAATTCCTAAAAGTTATGTCAAGTGCCCAGTTCTCTGCAATTGCAATCTATCCTTATTCTCTGCCCCAGCGCTCCATATCCTCCTTCTCCACTTACCTGGTTTATTTTCCTCGATAGTACTTTTCATCATCTGACATACTATATATTTCATGTGTTTATTTGGTTATCATTTGTTTACCTCTTCCAATCCCCATTCAAATACAAGTTTCATGAGGGCAAGAATTTTTGTCTCTTTTGTTAACTATTATATTGCCATTGTCTGGTACATCATAGGTACTTTATCAATAATATTTGTTAAATGGTAGCAGCATCTACCCATAGTCCATCTTTTCACCTGCCACAGTGGAAGATCAGACTCTCCATTTGTGCTTTGAATCCCATCTCCTCTGACCTTCAGAGTGTTATTCCTGCATCCTCCTCTCCTGCATCATCATTTTCTCCTTCTTTACTGTATCATTTCCATTAGCATACAACCGTGGTGAGTATATGTATACGTATGCTAAATTCTCTACTGAACCCTTGTTCCCTTCAAGTTACCATCCCATTTCTTTCTTTACTTATAACATATTTTTTCAAGGTATATTAAGGAAGCTTCTGCTTCCTCAGTCTTCGGTCCACTAAGCTCCAGCTGTGCCACTGCCCTAAAGCCATTCCTCAAGTCACCAATGACTTCACATTGCAGATCCAAAGGTCTATTCTTATTTGACTCTAGCTCTCAGCAGCTATCAACTCCCTTAACCACTACTCTCTCTCTCAAATTTTGTCTCGTGGCCAGCGCCTGTATTATAACTATGCCTGGCAAATAGAGAGCACCAAGTTAACATTTGTTAGATGAACAATTCCCAAATGACTCAGAATCCGGCAGTATCTCAGGGCTATTATCTTGAAGACCAGTTATGATTATAGATGATTTTAGTTGTAAAGGGGAGTCCAGCTCCATGACAATATTGAAGTTTGTGTTTTTACTGCCCAAATCATTAATATAAATGAAATAGCTCACATTTTGCTTTTTTCATAAAAATGGAAAATTGAAAATCAACTTTAACAGATCTACTTATTTGATTTTAATTAACTTGATTTTTATTATAATTTCTTTCTTCCAGATCTAGCTGTCAGCACTTACATGGCAATTCTACTTTTAATATGACAGCTATATCCTTGCACTACTAGATGTTGCTGTGAAACAGAACAGATCCATAGTTCTATAATAAAAAGGAAAGAACACTAGACTTCTTCCTTCCATAAAGTTTTCTCTAATGTTACTAGCTAATGTTATGGGCTAGGTATTAGAGACTTACATTACTTTGGAGGTAGGACAAATCAAATTTAAAATATGAAATTCAGCTTTATAAAAGAAAGATCTATTCATTATAACTCAATGAAGTGTGAAAAAAAATTCAAATGGTTCCTTTGGCATCAAGTTTCATCTTTAAGGAATTGAGCTATTTAAATGTCCTTCCAAAAATTATTTAAAATAATGTTTCCTAATGGAGATAAGGATATAAAGTGATTATACACCACTTACTTTCATTTTTTAGATGCTTCCTAGTGAAGTAGAGCATTCTTAATTTACATTTACTATAGGTTGGCAACAGAGAAGGCACTCAATGTATGTTTATTGAAAAAAAAGAATGAATGAAATGAAAAAAACTCATGAATTCTAGATTCACTAGGCATTCACCTCTGGCATTATATTCCACTCAGCAGCCTGCATACATTCCCATTTCCTGTGAGTGACAGTATAAAGAAAAGCTACCACGGTACTGAAGTTCTGCTGCATTTTAGTTTTGCTTGTTTGCAAGTCAGGATTCATAATTCCCAGATATGAAGAAGTTATAATGTTGTTACCCTTTTTTATACACAAAAATGTACTAGTCAGAATTCCCATATTGCCAGTTGTAAAATTTATATGTTGATAAAAGTACTAAGAAAGTGCCAGAGCATTATCAAGAGAATATGGTTAATGCATCTTCATTACTACTAATAACCATGAAAAACATATAGATCAAGTTTATGTGGAGCAATTTTTCATGTGAATAGCTCTTAAAAGGGGATGAGCACTGTTTTCTTTTTTTGAACATTTTTGTTTTGTTTGGTTTTTAACAATGTTCTCCCTCATTCAGTACCCACAGCTTCTAGAAGAATGTTTTTTTTTTTCAAAACAACAATTGAAGGTGATTATGTGTCTTCCGGATATAAGCAATTGTAAGTCATACAGAGAAAGCAATCTGTCCAGAGCTTGTCTGTTTTTCTAGGCATAACAGTTTTTATACCAAAGTTATCTAATTTAGAACTGAAATATGAGCAGCAGAATTCTTCATGTGAAATATTAAACAACTTCCAACAATTATTAATGGCTGTGATGTGTATGACTAAGTCATGTGTGCTAAATTAATGAAAATTAATGTAGTTGTCAGAGATCTGATGGACAGTGGGGATTAGATTAAATTAGATTAAAGATGGAGTGCAATGTGTTAATAGTGTTGAATAATAAACAGCAAGAAGAATTTGGAGTTAACAAGACATTGAATATCAAATCTAATGAGTAACCAATTTTGTGTAATTGAAGTCTTTCATTACTATTGTCTATTGTTATTAAAAATAGTACTGTTTAGGTGAGATTATTTTAAAATAATGCCAGGAACTTACTTTTGGCACAATCTCATTTAACAAGTTCAGTCAGTACCAATAGGTGAACTTTCTGAAGATCCAAGAATCTCCTCGAAATACCTGTACCAGCACCCTATTCTGACCTGAATTCATTGTTGAGCTTATCTTCAGTTTTTAAACACTGGTTTCTCTTCTAGTGAGAAGCATTACTATACAAAGTTAGCAGAGAACACAGTCAACTGATCTCAATTTCTGTGTTGTGTTAATTCATGCCATCATACTGCATGGGCATCTATAGGACAAAGTTGCAAGTATACTAGGATATAAATGTTAAAAAAACAAAACTACAAATTACTTCATAAAACGTTCTTAAGACCAACACAGTATCTGATATTCCAACTTTAAAATAATCAAATAAAACATATTTAAAAAGTAAGTTTTGCATTAATTTCTATTTTTGGTTCCTCACAAGCAGGTGAAAAAATCCCACGCTACACTGTGAATGAAAACAGGTGATTTTAGCTATCTCTTCCCAGACGTTTATTGCCTACTTGATGTCTTGCAGCCTGGCTTTCTGACCCGCACTCTACTGAAAGAGCTTCTAGGGCCTTCAATGCCTTCGTAGTTGCCAGTCATGGCCTGTTTTTATTACATTTCTATAAACTTTCTGAAGCTTTTAAAAAACCATTATCACATTATCACCTCTATAAAAATTCTCCACAACCTTTTCCCTCCTGGATCTAAGTATTTACAACATTCTAGTTTATCTCCTTTCTTCCTCTATATTTATTTTTTAGATTTGATAATATCTAATATTTGTTTATTTCACTTTTTCTGCAATAAAATCTTATTAGATGCTTAGCTAAACTTTTGTGAAAGAATCACTTCAATTTATTTCGAATTATTTTTCTCTATTTTCTAATTTATATTTTTGTTATTTCTTTTCCTTGTGTTTTCCAAGGTTGAATACTTCCGTTCATTCATTCAATTATTCATCCTTTATTCTCCCTCTCTTCCAATAAAAGCATTTAAAGTTACACATACGCTTGGTTTTAACAATAGGATGAAAGTTTTCTCTCATTTTCTGAATAGCCTTGTTGGCTCATTTGTTATTTAGGTACAATTAAAAATTTCAGATGGCTGAGTTTGTTTGCGTTTAAATATATTACTTATTTTGATTTATTGAATAAAACAGAAATACTGGAGGAATGGAAGTGGGAAAATGTTTTGATTTTTCAAAAGGACTATGGAAAGCACAAACTAGAAAATAAACTGATGTATATAAATAATTTTACTAATTACTTAGAAATGAATATCTTTTATTACAAGTAGACAGTATGGTTCACTAAAAAGTCATTCCAAGGCAACTTTACTTCTTCATCTGACAGTGTGAAAGGTCTGTTAGATTTTAAGATATGTCAGTACCTGTGGAAATAATGGAGAATAATGCATGTTCAGATATAGTGGGACAATTGTACCCCAAGCATATTGTTCAATATTCTAGCACCCACCAAGTATTACTGGTGATGATATGTGTCTTAGTCTTGGTTCACAGACTTGCTACCAATCCATCTTTTAGGACGGTCATAATTTTCTGTTAATGAGTTGTGTAACCATGAGAAAGTTATTTATCCCGTCTGGACCCAAGTTTCCTTATCCTAAAATAAGGGAGCTGAATTTTATGGTATTTTAGGTTCTTTTTAGATTGAAAATTCTACAATTTGTGAATAGAAGAATGAAAATATGTGCTTATCAAATTTCAGACCAAAGGCTAAAGAGACACCCGATATATCAAATAAAAGAATCAAATTTTTAAATGTTTTCAACATAAAGTAAATGATAAATGTTTGAGGTGACA